AAAAAAAGTCCTTTCAGTACTTATTGAAGTTTTTATAGCCCTTCATAATAGTAAAAATTGCTTAAGTTATACTTGTGGTATAAATGATAATATTGACCATTGATTAGACATCTGTTATCCTAGTTTTTAACAGATAATAGATGCAGAAGGGCCACGTAACTTGCCTAAAGTTCCACAATGAGTCAAAGGCTTCTTGTGTACAGATATGTTCATTGATGGACATCCATAATTAGTTATAATATGGATAAATATTTGCATTTACTTTTTTTATACTATGCTGTTTTATATTATTTTGTTCATTTTTTTTTTTTTTTGAAAATGGGGTGTGGATTGGAGAGGGTTAATTGCTGCCTGGGTATTCCTTAGCTACCCTGGCCCTAGTATTTCCTAAGTTCCTAAGACCAGATAACCACATTCTTCTCTCCTGTGCACTTTACCTGTATTCTTATCTCTCTGTTGTGTCTAAGACTTGAAAGGAAACTTAGCTCTTTGACGGCTAACTTTCTGAATTGTGCCGTGGACAGGTGGAAGATGAGGTCCACGCCTGCCCTTTGATTTTACTCAGAGCAGGTAGAAAGGCTTCTTTGTTTCAAAAATTTCCCTGCGCTTTGCTTTCTGAAGCACCGTCTCTGGAATGTGACATCCTTGTCATCTGTGTGTGCCAGACACCATCACTGCCCACCACAGTGGCAGCTTAGAGTAGAAAATCAGCTTTGTTTTGGATACACCTGGGTGACAGTTTATTCTCTACAGATTCTGTGGTAAAAATGTAGCCATACTTTCCCTCTTGTAAAGTATAGGAGCTCGGGGAAAAGGCACATGTTGAAAATCATTAGTTGCCCAAATATTATTATTATTTAAAAATAGGTAAGGAGCCAGGTGTGGTGCCAGTAATCCTAGGTACTCAGAAAGCTAAGGCAGGAGGATCATGAGTTCATGTCCAGCCTCAGAAACTTAGCAAGACACTATCTCAAAAGAAAATATGAAAAAGAAAAGCTGGGGATGTAGCTCAGTGGTAAAACTCCCCTGGGTTCAGTCCCCAGTACTACAGCTATTACTACTACTACTACTACTACTACTACTACTACTACTACTACTACTACTACTACTAACTAAATACAAATAAGTAAGGAATTGGAAGGGAAGCAGAAAGGGATCATACAAAGTTTTAGGAAATTTTAGAATGCTCCACTCTTGCATCTCAAGCTCATAGAACTGATATATATATATATTTTAAAGTGAGAAATGAAGAAGATATGATTATTGATTATGAAATATCTTGATTACTGGCAAGAAGTAGGATTATTAATTTCTGTGGCGATTTCATATATGAAGAGAATTATTTGCTGTGAGATAGTAATACTGCCTTCATTCCACCACATTTTATAGTTTTCAGGACATTTTCACATGGTATTATATTATTTGATCTCTATAGTAACTTGTGGTTTAAGGGAGGTTGAGTAGCTGAGCCAAGGGCACCAGGTTGGTAAGGAACTGCTCCTCACGTTGAGGCTTCCTGACTTTCTGCGTGGTCACGACCCAGTTGTGAACAACTTGTCCTGATACAGGAAGGCACACGTCGGCTATAGTGACTGGAGTGGGAATTTCTGGCCTCAGATACTGGAGCATATTAATCAGTGGGAGTTGATGTTATTTGTCAGCCAGGGACAAGAGTTCAGGGATTCTATAAGCTTTCTCAGCACAAATACTGAACTTAGACACAGACCCCAAAGTGCCTTTATCAGTAAAAAAATTAATGACCAGAAATACAGACTTGGCACCTAAGAGCTGAAATTGATGACAAAAGACCTGCTTCCATAATGAAGATGGAAAGATGTCACCTGATGAATGTGAAGAGCAATGACAGAGTCAGGATGCCCAGGTTCTAGGTGGCTCTCATGTACCACATGCTGAGTGCTTGCTGACATTTAAGAAAATTTTTAAACATTTGTTTTAATTAGTTATACGTGACAGTATAATGCACTTTGATGCATTGTATATAATGGAGTGTAATTTCTTATTCTTCTCGTTAATGCATTATGTAGAATCCCACTGGTTGTATAGTTATTTACATACATAGGGTAATAATGTCTGATTCATTCTACTGTCCTTTCTATCTCCATACCCACTCTCTTCCCTTCACTACTCTATCTAAAGTAACTTTGTTCTTCCCTAGCCCCTTCCCCATGATGAATTAGCATCCGCATATCAGAGAAAACATTTGACCTTTGGTTTTTGAGATTGGCTAATTTCACTTAGCATGATATTCTTCAGCTCCATTTGTTACCAGCAAAAATGTCATAATTTCATTCTTCTTTAAGGTTGAGTAATTCATGTGTGTGTGTGTGTGTGTGTGTGTGTGTGTGTGTGTGTGTGTGTATGTGTGTGAGAGAGAGATATTACATTCTTTTTATCCATTCATCTGTTGAAGGGCACCTAGGTTGGTTCCATAGTTTCGCTATTGAGAATTGAGCTGTTATAAACATTGATGTGGCTGTGTCCCTGTAGTATGCTGTTTTTAAGTCCTTTGGGTATAGACCAAGGAGTGGGCTAGCTGGGTCAAATGGTGGTTCCATTCCAAGTTTTCTGAGGACTTTCCATACGTTTTCCATAATGGTTGCACAAATCCTCATTCCCACCAACAATGTATGAATGTACCTTTTCCCCTACATTCTCTCCAACATTTATTGTTGTTTGTATTCTTGGTAATTGCCATTCTGACTGGGGTGAGATGAAATCTTAGAGTAGTATTGATTTGCATTTCTCTAATTGCTAAAAATATTGAACATTTTTTCATATATTTATTGATTGATTGAATTTCTTCTTCTGTGAAGTGTCTGTTCAGTTACTTGCTGACATATTTAATGCTGCTTATTATCATTCTCTTTTCAAGAGCATGGACCACAGGTAGGACATAGTAACAGCCTAACCACAGCTTTATTTGATCCTGTTCTAAGAAATGATGCAATTTGTATCTTTCAGCTTAAAAGGTTCATTATGGAATTTTAAAATTCTGTTTTTATACATGTTTTTTCTATACATATCAAACTTGAATAGTCTGCAGAGTATCCCAAACTTTTTATTGGGGGAAAAAATGAAACCACTCATTTGTGTGTCAGCCCTGTATGAGCCATTTCTTGTGGAAACGACTCATATTTTATCTTTTCTTTATTACAGAGTGGAAAACCACCCATCAATGATATGTTCACTGACCTCAAAGATGGAAGGAAGTTATTGGATCTTCTAGAAGGACTCACAGGAACATCACTGGTGAGAGGAGTCATCTCTGAGAATGAGACTAACAGATTATCTTTGGTCAATACTGACTCTTGGAGACCTATTGTGGGTATTTAAAATGTAAAGGCTGCAGAAGAACATTTTTAAAAGCTGTGCTTTGATAGAGCAGCATTTAGGCAGCATTTAGGCATCTATTTCTATCCAGGATTTCAGTATCAACTTTGTGTTTGCTTCTTTATCAAATCCAACTCTATTACTTTATGTGTAAGGTTCTGTGTTTTCTCATGGAGATAACACTCTTGAAGAGAATGTATTTTGTGGGTATAAACTCTTTTTTTTGTATAAATTTTTACACCAGAGGCAGAATTACTGTAAAGGTATAGAGGGATGTGCTCCTGCAAAGATGAATTCTTTTCTTGCCAAAGCATGGATGTGACACTCTCAGTCCCTCCAGGTGGTAGCTAGGCATCTGGTGGAGAGGCAGATCCTTCTGCCTGATAAGATTCCCTGGCCATTGAGGTGGAAGGAAGCTGCTCAGGTTACCTGACCCCAGGTGGGGAAGTTCTACCTTCCAGGTGGACCTCGAACTAATGCCAGGAAACAGGGGCTGGTGCTTGGAATCCCCTTTGCTTTGTGGTTCATTCACACCTGTGCAGAACAGAGGGGACTGCCTTCTCCTGTATCTTTATACATCCAGATCCATTTAGATAAAGGGGGCTTTGTTCTATAGCATGGGTTCCCAAATGTGTCTGCCTGTTAGAATTACCAGGGAAATCTTTTACAGGTTCCAAACCCATACCACATTCCAGAATCATTAAGTCACAGTCTTTGAGGGAGGCAGAGACACAACCATTAATAATTTTTGAAGCTTCCCAGGACATTCCAGTGTGCAGACAAGTTAGTGAATCAGTATTTTAAGATATTGTTAGTTGGGGGATTTGCATAAACACATAAACTCTAGTGTCTAGGGTGGTGGCCCAGGCTTTGGGGCTCCAAGGATGTGGGATGCAGCTTGCTGAGCTGCTGTTTCACATACAGCAGTCTTTGTTGGTCAGGCATATGGAGGGATACTGGGTCTTACTTGCTTTTATTTTACTTTCCAGCCAAAGGAACGGGGTTCCACGAGGGTACATGCCTTAAATAACGTCAACAGAGTGCTGCAGGTTTTACATCAGAACAATGTAAGCTTGTAAAGTGACTTCTAGGTTTTGGTTCTGCCATCTGTATTATTTATTCCGAAACCAGCTTCCTGTGCTATGCATTGGCGTCTACTGATTCTTAGAAATGTCTTTTTTTTTTTTAATTGAAAGTACTGGATCTTTTTTATGAGTGAAGGAACAGTCACGGGCTCTTTCTGGTGGCTTTATTGATCTATCATATAAATAATATACTTTTGAAATGGAGGTTTACCTAATTCTCTAAAATGAGATTTCTTTTATCTCTCATTTATATTGTTGTGCAAATGTATTACATTGAAAATCTGGATTTCTCTGAAGAAATTGTTGTAAAAGGAATTTTTTTTTTCATCTTGACAGGTGGAATTAGTGAATATAGGAGGAACTGACATTGTAGATGGAAATCACAAATTGACTTTGGGACTACTTTGGAGCATCATTTTGCACTGGCAGGTGGAGACATTTCCAATCACTTTTGAATAGAAAATGTTGAAAATGTATTTTTGTGTATTTGTTTCCTAGGGGTGCATTGACAAAGAACTAATCTGCTGGGTTGGAACAACAGAAATTCATTGTCTTGCAATTCTGCAGTCTGGGAGTATAAGTTCAAGGTGTCTGTAGAGTTGGGTCCTTCTGAGGGTTTTGAGGGAGACTCTGCTTCTTACTTGTCCCCCAGCTTCTGGTGGCAGTTGGTGATCTTTGGTCTTTGTTGGCTTGTGGCAACATAGCTCCAAGCTTCACAGGACACCTTCCCTGTGTGTCTGTGTTCATGTTTCCTGATTTAGTTAAGGACACAGCCATATTGTATTTAAGGCCCACCCTGCCCCAGAATGACCACCCTACCATAACTGGTTACATATCCAATGACCTTATTTCCAAGTAAGACCCTGTTCTGAGCTACTGGGGGTAAGGACTTCAGTGCTGGGAATTTGAGAGGACACAGTTGGACTCATATAGCAGTTTGGAATGGAAGAGGCTGACAAGCTGCTCTGTTTTCTGGAATAAGAAAAGGGAGTATCTGTTCTTCTTATATTGAATGAAAGAAATTAACAAAGCTTACAGAAGAGTTGCAAGAATCATTTAAGATATTTGCAAATACCCTCATTCACATTCCCCAAATGGCAACAGTTTCCCTTATTTCTTTTGCTCTTTCTCTCTCTCTAAGTGCTTCTATGTGTATTTCTAAAAATGTGGCATCCTCCTAAAACCCAGGAACTCTTTTACATAGCCATAATATAATATTAATATAGCAATATAAAAATGTATAGTATCAATATTTATAATTATTGCATTATAGTACAGTAATTTATCCATCCATCCATCTTCCCTTCTCTCCATGTGTTCTTTTGTGTATCAGCAGATATATCATGGAATTTACATAGATTTATAATCTTTTACTACTATTAATCATTTTGATGCTTAAGTTGTCCGAGATAAGGCTAGTGTGAGCCCCTTAAGTTTGCTCTTGGGTCCTTTTGGTGTTTCCACAACATTTCTTAAAGCACATATACTCCTTTAGGGTAATAGTATAAAATGTTCATTCTGGAATATAACTGTCATTGTTATCATTCTTTGATTTTGTAGTCAGTCAAATGTTCTTCCTTTAAAAAAAAGTTCTTTTCTCATTTTTTAATAGAAAATAAATATTGGGTTTTCTTCATACAAAAAGACCTTTGTAAGTGAAGAGTGTAAAATGTGACTTTTATGTTACTATGACAGTAATGCTCATTGTAACCAAACAGTACAAGTAGGGTTTTAGATGTAGAAAGTACAGTAATGTATAAAATTAAAGTAAGTAGCATTTGCAAATCCAAATTTTTTTTGAAGGAAAAAATTTGAAATAAAATAAATGCCATAATAGTAACTTAGAGTCATACTCTTCGTCAGGGACTTGATTGATGTGACTGTGAAGTTACAGGCAGGTGTGGTTTCTCTTAAATAGGTAAAAGATGTCATGAAGGACATCATGTCAGACCTGCAGCAGACGAACAGTGAGAAGATCCTGCTGAGCTGGGTGCGGCAGACCACCAGGCCCTACAGCCAAGTCAACGTCCTCAACTTCACCACCAGCTGGACTGACGGACTTGCCTTCAATGCTGTGCTCCACCGACACAAGTAAGACGTCTCTCAGCTTAGAAGAGGGCTTTCCACATTTGCATGTCCTCTCTGGCCCTTCTTTGTTCATTGCTCCAAAGTTCCTTCTCCACAATCTCTGCTCTCTTCATTGCACTTGCTCAGCCAGAACATGAAGAAAAGAGCTATCATGGAAGAAAACCACTCATGGAGTCTCCAAATGCCACAGTGCAATGTCCATGATTTCTCCTACATATTTATAACTTAAAAAATGTAAGATAATTCACATAGTTCAATCCCACTCATTCAGCCTTCAGTAATACATACAAAGAATTGTGTTCATTTCTATTCTTATAGCAAAAGTAAAACTATGTATTCAATGTAATCCCAATTAAAAATAACCACATAATTTTTCTCATGAAACTTGTAAAAAGATTCTAATTTGTCTACAAAAGTACAAAGGTTCCAGAATAATCCAAAGTACACTGGAGAAGAACCAGGCTGGAATATTTCCCCCAAAGAAACCAAAACTATGAAGCTGTATTATTTAAGATTATGCAGTGCTATAAGTAAATAAAGTAACATAATAGATAGAATCATATGAAATTGCCAATACTTGACTGTTTTTGATGTACAAAAATGGTGGCCATATGATTCATCCTAACCAAATAAAGAGCTCAGAAATTTCTCCATTACTTAGGAAAAACTGATAAAAAAATTGAACTGATATTGCACATTAATAGATGGTATGGGACAGTTGGTAATCCATAGTAAATAAATGCATTGATTGGTTTCTTATGTCCCCATACCTCCCCCCCCCAAAAAAAATAAATTCTGCATGGATCAAGGATTTAAATGCCAAAGGCAAAATTTGTTATGTTTCATTGCTATTGTAAATTATTCATTTTCTCGTTTCATTTTTCTGCAATGTTGTTGGATGGTATATAAAAAATGCAATAGACTTTTTTTTTACATTTTATATCTGGAAACTTATTAAATTCTTCTGAATTTTAGTAAGTTTGTCTTTGTGGGCCTGTGGGGATTTTTTTTCCCTGTTTTTCTGTTTTGGGTGGGGTGGGATGGGGTGGGGGCTGGTGGTGGTGGTGGTGGATAGAATGTCCTTGAATTAGGATTGTTTTCTTCTCTTTTTTTTTTCTGTTCCTCCTGGTGCCTTGTACTTTAGTGCAGTATTGATTCAGTGATAGTGAGCAGAATGTTTTGTTCCTGGTAACAAAGGCATTGCTTTTCATGTTGGACCATAAGAATGGGGTCTGCTGTAGCTTTTTTTTTGCTACACTTTTTTTTTTTTTAAATGAAGTTAAAGCCTTCCTCCTCCATATTCTTCCACTCCTCCTGTATCAGCTTAAGGAGGCTGTTCTCTGATCCTTGCTGGCTTAGAGCTTTTATCAGGAAAAAGTATTGCATTTAGTCATTACTTTTCCCATCTATTAATTAATTCAGCAAGTACATGAGGAGTGCCTGCTGTGTGCCAGACACAGGTGTCAAGCAGAGAACCAAATGGGCAAAAATCCTAGTCCACTTGGAGTTGATGTTCCAACAGAGGAAGGGAGACAGACTTTTAAGAATGGGAACATAAGTTGTACCTAGAAATCTTAAACATACTGGAGAGCAACACATTAAGCAAGAGGGTAGGAGGCACCTGGTCTGTGGGAGGCAAGGTCTGTTGGGGGCTGGGTGGTGGGAATGGGCACAAGAAGTCAGGGAGGAGCTTGGGGAGAGGAGGGTGGGGGATCAAGTCCCAGAAGACATGTGGGTCAAAGATTTAAGAGCACAGAGAAAATGATCACTTTTGGGGTATGTCAATGTGACAGTAGTGTCCAAGTTGTGAGATTAAAGGAAAATTAAGATGGCAATGAAATGCTAACAACCTAGAGGGGACAGTGGAGGGCAAGCCTCTCGGGGCCTTTGGTTTAGAAATGCCATGTGAACTGATACGTTTAAGTTCATTGTAGTCACTCAGTTTGGACTTTTTAATTTTTTTTACCTTTTCTTTTTTGTTTACTTTTTAAAATATTGATAGGTTTCGCCAACCTCTTTTTTTTTTCTCTTTTACTCTGTGAAATTCTGTATACTTGAATCTCTTAGTGGTTACCCCAGAAACCTTTTTTTTTTAAAAAAAAAAAAAATTTAGTTTTGAATGGACATCATACCTTTATTTTATTTTTATGTGGTGCCGAGGATCAAACCTAATGCCTCTCACATGCTACTAGACAAGTGCCCTGCTACTGAGCTATCACCACAGCCCTTACCCAAAAATCTTAACTGGCATCTTTAATACAAAAGCCTTAGAATGTGTTATCTGTTATTTTTATATTTGTAATTTACTTTCAAATATTTTCTATTTGAAAAAGCATTGGGATATAAAATATTTAATTCTTAAAAAAGCCTCACAACTTAAAAAAAATCTAAAATCTAAAACTGAAACGTAATTAGATCGTAACAATGCCTATTTTATTTCCACAAGATTTTATCTTCATTGAATTTTATTTGCATGGTGATTTCAGGCCGGATCTCTTCAGCTGGGATAGAGTTGTCAAAATGTCCCCAATTGAGAGACTGGAACATGCCTTCAGCAAGGCTCAGACTTATTTGGGAATTGAAAAGCTGTTAGATCCTGAAGGTATTGTTCAGTATTTACTTTGAACCTTGATTTTGCTTTATAACATTGAATCCTTGAAAAGCAATATTTTTTTTCCTCTTTAGGCTGATTTATGAGAATTGAAGAATCTTTTTCTTTTTGAAGTATAGCTATAAGCCACTTATTGCAGATGAATTATTAGTACTTTTGTATTTAGCAATTTGTGAAATTGTTTAGGCAGAAAGTATTTCATCGGATAATAGCTAATCTATTATATCAACTAAGATTTTAAGTTTTAGAAGATTATAAGTTTTAGAAAGATATATTTACTAAATGAGCGATTCAGTAGTTTATGAAAGTAGATTTTTAGTTATAAATGTTGTAGGGTTGAATTTTAAACTTACCTTCATCGTCTGAATGACATCTATATCATTATTTTAAGTGATAACATGTAGTAAATGACCTTTGTGCATTCTGAGGAGGATTGTAGAGAAGATTTTTAAGGAATGGGATACCAAATAAAAAATAAGTAATCTTCTTTGCCTTTGTCTCATGTATTGTAACAAAAACCACAATTTACTGAGACAAGGTATTTTGAAGATTATAGATTAAGTATTGTTTATGGGTTCTAGGGATAGTTATTTTATACCTAGTATTGAGCAGCTCAAGTATTTTGGACATCTAATTTAGGCTGGTTCTTTTTTTTTCTTCCACTTTTAGATGTTGCTGTTCAGCTTCCTGACAAGAAATCCATAATTATGTATTTAACATCTTTGTTTGAGGTGCTACCTCAGCAAGTCACAATCGATGCCATCCGAGAGGTTGAGACACTCCCAAGGAAATACAAGAAAGAATGTGAAGAGGAAGAAATTCAGTTACAGGTACCAGAACCTTTTTTGTTAAAGTGTGGGACTTGTCACACTTGTTTCCTCACAGATAATGACATCTCAGAGGGTGTTTTCTTGACTGAGAACATCTTGGTTTCTCAGTTCAGTGTTTCAGTAAACAGGCTGTCACATCATGCCATGGAAAACCACAACTCACCCAATTATTAAGAAGGAGCATGTCTTACTTCAAGCAGGGAGTTAGGATCTGGGCTTGTTGACAGTGCTGAGTGTGTCCTGTTTAAGATCCTCAGCTTTCCTGTGTCTGGTCACCATCTTTTATCACCTTTGTCTGGCGCTGGGATGGTTTTACTCATGTCAACCTAGTGCTTTTTAAATTACTAATTCTCCCCCTCCATCTTAATTATTTCTCTCATTATAGTCTCACAATGCCTATTAAAATATAAGTTTATTTTCCCTGAGGAGAGTAATCTACAATAAGCTACTTGTCAAGTTTTTCATGAAAGGGCTTAACAATGGTTTTATTCATCAGAATGTAAATGAGTTTTCCCCCAGGAGACATAAATAAAATAATGAATATGTTTCTTCCTTCATTATCTTGCCTTAAATCAGTTCATATTTTATTTTTTTTAAATATTTATTTTTTTAGTTGTAGTTGGACCTATTACCTTTATTTATTTATTTATTTATTTTTATGTGGTGCTGGGGATCGAACCCTGGGCCTCACTGGTGCTAGGCGGTCGCTGTACTCTTGAGCCTCAACTCCAGCCCTATCTTTTTGTTTTAGTCGAACTAATCTGAATTTATAAAATGGAGGCTCTCCAGAGTTGGATCAGATCTTGGAAGTCACTTGGTCAAACATTTTAGCAACTAAGCAACAGAAGAGATACACATGGATTTCACAATTATAAGAAATTCATTGTGGAGAGGCCGAAAGTTTGGGCTCGTGTGTCTAAATTTCATTCTCTTGCTACTTGCCTTGGGTCAGTTATTTAACCTCTCAATGGATGTGTTTGAAACTAGCTGCTTGACAATGTATGGAAAGCGTCTAAAATGATATTACTAAACGTTTGACAAGCATAAACTATCATTATTATAATTTTTCCTCTCAATTTGTTTTGGCATTTGTATTCTACAACTTCGTTTTTAAAAAATGTTAACTGAATTTCCACGTTAGGATGGTAATTATGAGATGACCTAGCATCTCCTGCCCCTGCCCCAACTCCCACGGTTCAGAAAACTTACTTATTATTTTACATTTTATTTGGATAGTGTGTACTAATACTTTATATTTTTCTCTATTTCAAACTAGCATGGTTTTTAGAAACAGAAAAAAGCTGGGGAAAAGAGAAGAGATGTGCATGCGAGGAAAAGTTCTTAACATCTTATGACTGGCTTTGTTTGTCTCTTGTGGATTGTTAATAATGTACCTTTTGAGGTGACTCTGATAATCTGGATTTGCCTCTTGGTTTTGTAATTATCTCTTTATTGGACCAAGGTTGTTCTTCTTTTTTTTTTTCTTTAAGAGGATATTTTAATTCTTATAATTCACGCCATTTTTTTTGTTTGTTTTTTGGTACTGGTGATTGAACCCAGAGGATCTTAATGAGCCCACATCCCCAGCCCTTTTTAATATTTTATTTAGAGACAGGGTCACACTAAATTGCTTAGGGCCTTGCTTTTGCTGAGGCTGGCTTTGAACTTGCAATCCTCCTGCCTCTGCCTCCCGAACTGCTGGGATTACAGGTGTAATCGCACTTGGTGCCATTCTGTCTTAAAAGGGAAGGGGACTGTCTTTGCCTTTATGATGTGTATGTCAAATAATTACCTGTATTTAGGGCTAGGGTTGGCACTATGAGAACTGCACTAACCACTTACTGTTTGCTGACAAGCTGGTGTATTAACACGAAACTCCTTATTTACATGCTTTCATTAGTGTTAGACGTTGAGTAGCAAGAAGAAATGAAGTGTGGTGAAGTTTTAATCCTCTGCTCTTTGACATAGCTTGCCCTCTGCTACTCTCCAGCATGTGCCAATGGTCGCTGTTCTCCCAGCTCTGGCTTTTCTACACACACACACACACGTGCTGTGTCGCAGTAGGTGATCAGCAAGTGATTCCTGTACTTCTTCCCAGCTGTCTGCCCGTTGAACGTCTCCTCATGTGTTTTAACTGATACCTTTTGGATGCATGTGTGTAGATACACCTTCCATCTTATAGATGCTGGTTCCTATCCATGTGGCTTTTGGCTGGTCACTAACTTTCCAAGTTCTTCTATAGCCTTATTATAATATAGAGATTTGGTCCTACATGATCCTTAGAGTTATTTCAGCTCTGTGGGTTCAGGATTTTCGGTCTGGATCTTCACTCATTTCTCTTTTCCTATCGTTGACACCATCTGCCCCTTCCTCATTCAGCTCAGAGCTTACTGGTCCATTCCCCGCCTCCCTGGCTGGTCTGTTAACTCCGATATTCAGTTTACTGTTTTTTGTTTTTAATTCTTCCTCCAAGATGTCTTCTGTGAGTTTTCCTTCTTTCTGTTAAAGAAAGACTAAGACCTTTCTTCCCGTGTGGTTTGTCTGATGCGGCCTCTCTTCACACCGTGGACCTTCACTCTTCTTCCCCAGCACTTTGCCATGTGCAAAACATCTCTCCACTCATTATCCCCAGGCAAGCTGGCCACTTCTCCATAGTCTAAGTGGAACCTTTAGAGAGCAATCTTCTCTGATTAACTTGCCAAAATCCAACTGTATTCTCCTTTTCTCTATTTCTTGCTATCACAGTAATTTTTGTAAACTCTGTTAAGAATTTTAAACTGTATTTTAGGGGCACTGAGAAAGTAGTGAAAGACTTTAGGCAGGGAGTCTTTCGGATGTGATGCATTTTCTAAAGACCTTCTGCTGTGTGAGGAGTGGCTTGTGGAGGTAGGAGTCTAAGTGGCAAATGGGAGCACGCTGTCTTGGCCCTGCGGAGAGACGTAGGTAGTTATGGAGATGGAATGGTTTGGATGGAGTTGAGATAATTTTTGCAGATGGGATCTGCTTCCATATTGGATATGGAAGATGAAAGAAAGAAGCCAAGCTGGCTTGTGAGTTTAGCTGGAGTATTTAGATGCATAGAGCCTGAGAAGGAATACATTTTGGGAAAATAAAACAAAAAAAGGGGATAGTTAACCATGGACATGTTTTGATATGCCCATGAAACATGAAATGAAGGTGTTAGGGTAGTTGGGAATTTGAGGCCAGAAATGTGAATGTGAAATGTGTGCCTAGGACATAGTTTTAAAAATTCTATCAAAATAGATGCAGTTATTCAAGCCAGAGTGTACAAAAAGGAGGAAAAAAAGCCCAGGACTGAATTTTAAGATTAATTACTCATTGGTTGGCAGCTGCTGTTGAGCCAGGAGGAGGTCACTGGGATGTTACTCTGCAGAAAGTGGGGTTCAGCTGGACAGCTAGAGAGCTACTGAAGTTTAAGTAAGAACCATGGGTGATCAGCACTTTGGGTTTCCTTGGAGCCCTTCTGGTTTATGTACGTTGTGCTAGCGGTTATTATAGAAATGTTCTAGTGGGCTGGTTGATTATTTTGTCACTGTGAAGATTATGGTAGAAAAGGGGATCTTTTAACTTTTCATTTGTGGTCTGGGGGTATACTTAGCAAGTGAAAGGGAATGTTAGTGAAATCCCTCTGTTAAGTACAAGAGCATGTCTTATTGTTCTCTGTTCATTTGTGTACACATGAAATATTCTGTTTTAAAACAGTGGATAAAAGTCAATGCCATGGAGATAGTCTGCATAAATTTTAAAGAACTTTTGCTCTGAACAGGAACAAAAGAACAAACAGACAAGTGGGTTTGGTGATAAGATACTGAAATAAAGAAAGAAAAATGTAGTTTCTTAGAGCTTAAGAGGAATTGATTTTATGAGCCCTAACAAACAAAAACAAAAACAAAACAACAACAACAAACAAAAAAAATCCCCAAAACCAAAAAAATTAAGGTAGTAAAAGGGCCATGGCCTCAAAAAACAAAACCCCAAACCAGTCAGTACAATCAGTACCACAGCCTGTGTGTGTGGCTGTCTTTCAGTGTCTGAGATGCAGCGTTAAAATTCAATTCAGTAAAAGCATTATAACCAGGGGTCAAAACAGAGTTCCAATGGCTCTTTTTCTGTAAATTATATTCGTTGTTCAAGGTTCAGTATGGTTCAGCTCTTTCCCAGTTGTTTTCAGCCTTTGGTAAACTCAAATAGCAACACTGATGGGACTGCAACATTTATAATTTTGCTGAGAGCCATTTATTTTTGTTCAGAAGTGATTCATGTGGGTTATTTCTCTCTCCCCAACTATATTAGAATGGCCTGGAGTCTAGAACTCATGAGTGTGTGCTGCTGTTGTATCTTTTGCTGTTCTAATACACTAAATAATTGCTTTATGATGAATTTTTGGAATTGCTACCCCAATTCCTGAGAATTAAATTAATACCTGAGACTCAGTGGTGCCTGTCTTGGGTTCACCAGTGCATGTTGATCCCTCCTGACAATTGTGAGTTTTTCTTGGCTTTGTTTTCATAGAGTACAGCAGCAGAGGAAGAACATCAGAGTCCCCGAGCTGACACCCCCAGCACTGTCACTGAGGTGGACATGGATCTGGACAGCTATCAGATAGCACTGGAAGAAGTACTGACCTGGTTGCTTTCTGCAGAGGACACCTTCCAGGAGCAGGATGACATTTCTGATGATGTGGAAGAAGTCAAAGACCAGTTTGCCACCCACGAAGTAAATATTTGTATTCATGAGCTGCATCTATCTACCTTGGGGGTTGTGCTAAAATCCAGGGCTCCACCTTGATACTGGGTTTGTGGTTTGCTAAATTCTGCTCTGATGGAAATCAGTGCATAGTTCTGCTCATTTCTGAAGTGTATTGCTTGGGTTAAAAATCAAAACGATAACTTGTTATACCAAATCTTTAGGTTTTGAGTGTGCCCAGGAAGTGATTGAAGTGATTATTTTTATTTGTTATAGGATTAAGCAAATGTACAGTTTTACCCAGTGTTCCTATATAGTTTATGTAATGAGAGTTCCTTGCTATTTTGAGGATATGATATATTGCAGTGAAGTGATTTTGACCATGTGGAGATTTCTTTCTGGTGAAGCACTTTTTTGGTGAAGGTATTTTAATTGACAGATCTTATTTACTCTTTTGGATTCAAAAGGATAGAAGTGGTAAGCCTCTCCTCTTGTAGGAGTGTGGTGTTTTATTTATTTGCTTATTTATTTTGCAATACTGGGGATTGCACCCATGTACTCTGAGCTATATCTCCAGCCCTTTTTATTTTTATTTTGAGACAGTTCTTGCAAAGTTGCCCATTTTGGCTTTGAATTTGTGATCTTCCTTCCTCAGCCTCCCAGCTACCTGGGATTATAGGCATGTACCACCATGTCCAACTTTTTGACACTTATTCCTACTTCCACAATCCTTGGTAGGAAAATTAGCATGCACTTAAAAAAAAAGCAGGTATTATCAGAAATAACAGTTTTCCTTGATCAATTTTTCTTTGACTTATGCCAGATGCTTTTTATTTTCAGACCTTCAAACATTGTGCCAAAATCTACTTTACGTGTGCTCTACTAGGCTACCTTTTTCTGCTGCATCAATATTTAGGCTGCGCTAGCTATTTATATTTTGTAGTGAGCAGCTCACAGATCTTCACGGTATACCTGTCTAGGCTTTTATGATGGAGCTGACCGCACACCAGAGCAGCGTGGGGAGTGTCCTGCAGGCGGGAAACCAGCTGATCACACAAGGCACCCTGTCAGATGAAGAGGAGTTTGAGATTCAGGAACAAATGACCCTGCTGAATGCGCGGTGGGAGGCTCTCCGGGTGGAGAGCATGGAGAGACAGTCCCGGTAAGTATGCCTCAGCAGGTGAGCACTGTATTCCACAGACTGCATTGTACAGTTGAGCTCAGGAGGTAGTCTGCCTTTCTGTGCAAAAACAAGATCAGCACAGAACCAGCTTCATGACATCTTGACTCTCCTCTGTTTTCTATTGCTGGGGCTTAAATGATCTTTGTGTCCTTTTTGATAAGTTAGCTCAGCCCCAAGGTAAAAGTTGGAATACAGCAATTAGCAAACCAGGAAGACGCATTCCAAGTGGAGAGTTTTCTATTGGCATGGTACTTAAATTGGCAACCATTAACTGGGTATGGTGACAGGACTATGTGGTATGTATGGATCTACTGGTCCACATTGTAAAATTTATTTATAAAGCAATCTTTTCCCATAGTCCATTTTATTTCATATATGGTGTATTGCATTCTATTACCATTTCCACCTATTTTACGAGCAGGAATTCCTGATGGAAGAAACAATAATTCTAATATGAAAAGAAGATGATGTTATTTACGTCCTTTGGCTCCATTTAGGCAGAAAATAATTCCCCCCGCCCTGGGTTTCTGTATTTAAAGACCAAACACTGTATTAGTGGCTGTATGTAGGTGTGTTCCTGTGCTCCATCTCTTGGTGCCTGGAGTGGGTATGTCCCTTTGCAAGGGAAAGAGCTGGTGGGAATGATGCTGTGTCCCCTGGCCAGGCTGCATGACGTGCTGATGGAATTGCAGAAGAAGCAGCTGCAGCTGCTCTCGGCCTGGCTCACCCTCACGGAAGAACGCATTCAGAAGATGGAAACCCGTCCCCTGGACGATGATGTACAGTCCCTGCAGAAGTTGCTTGAAGAACATAAAGTAAATCTGTCTCTTGTTTCTTTTTTACTTCATCAAATATGAAAGAGCAGCACTTAGCATTCTCAGGGGCTGATAGCTTCTACCTTTAGTGTAGTGTTGGGACACTTG